GAAGAGGTGTGGTAAATGCTGCCTAAGTGAACCTCGTTGTAGATTAACTCAAGTGCACGGCAGCGCTGCGTCAAGTCTGTGGCAAACATAATAGAGATCGCCGCTTATAACGATCGAACTGAAAGTGAAGTTCGACGGTTGGTTTCGACTAGGTCCACCGCGTGCTTCAGCAAGCTGAAGGCAAACACAGTGACTTAGGCGTTAATAAGTGGTAGAAGACTTGGGTCGCATCTACCGCACAAATTAAGTTTCCGAAGTTAGTGTCTAGACAGAGTCAGGAAGACCGGAAGCGGGAGATGACGTAGGTGGCTGACAGAATTACGAGACCCGACTGTAGACCACATTCTAATTTCAGAGGCAGCTATGCGTTTCTGAAAGAACCTTCAGTACATCGGTTCAACGCTTGTTATGAACTCATTCAATTACAGAAACGGCGGACTAAAGGCAACAGCACTACAGAAGAGGAAGCCAACATTTTAAGTTGCCGATGAAGTAAAAACATACCGGCATGTTTACATCCGATAGTACGGGGAAATAATAGAAATGCGACAAAAAACTTTCTTACCTACGTATGTGAGCAACAAACAAGGATAACAAATGTAACAAGAAATCCACGACACTTGTCAATTAACCTGCTGCATTTGCAAATGAAGGCTGAACGTGATGTGGAACAGAATGGATCTGAAATGCTAACAAGGAAAGAGTTTAAAGCGACATTACTTGCACTCTTGATTGAGGAATTGTTAAACGCATGCACTGTAAACCTATGAACATTCCATTTCTTAAACGTCCTAGCGTACGAGAAACTCGATCTTTCAGTGGTATGGAAGCAAGCATTAATTGAGCCAGCATAGCATAAAGGAATGTTGCTCTTGGAGGTTTTGGTAAATTATAAATGTCTCTGCTCCATCAAAACGGGTTTCTTTAAGGCTGGAACGCCGGTTTTTTAATGAAATACAGTGGATTTAAGCGGAAAGTGACTGACCTGTACAATTATCTCCAGCTTAACCAGGTTTCGAGCTACACCGGACACACGATTCCGTACTTTATTTGTTTTAAGGATTAATTATTATCACTTGTGTAGAATAAGGACAAATAATCAATGGCTGCATGATCTTGTGTCGGATTACATGATGCTGCTACTGCAGGTGTCACATGTGAAAACAATATGCTGACGTCATTGTAAGGTTTCGACTCACTTCCAGTAGACTTAAATTCAGTAATTAAACATAGCAAAGACAAACCTTGTGGGTAAACATGTTGAATAAATAAATACAATAAGTCTGAATTTGGCCATAAGGCAAATACAACGCACCGCAATGTGGGTTCCACAACGCCCATACGAATGAGCATGTCTCTTTGAGAAGTGCCATCGCCGGCGATGTTCCCAAGGGCCCAGATACACTGCTCCGCAATCCGTATGTCCTTATGGAAAAGAAGGCGTATCAGCTTTGGAGAGGCTCCACTGTCAACAACACCCTGCGTATGATGGGACTCTCCCGATGCAATGTTGGTTAGGGCCCAGGCAGCCTCGAAAACTATTGCGTCGCTACAGAGAAGAACCATTAGAAAAATAAATCGACTAACGTTTTAGCGTCAAGAGCAGCTGCAAGCAGACCGACAACACCACGATCGAAAAATTCGTCAATAGGCGGATTCTTCGCCCGTGACAATGTCTTACGGCAAGTCTGAATGGCCTGCAGCTGAATTTCCTGGCTTCGACTACCCATCTCAGACACAATTTTGTCGTAATTTATTGCTTCTGTGCTCGGAGTCTATTTCGTTAGAGTAAAATACTATCATACTTGTTTCTCTTTCAGTGGCGATGTCTCGTCCACACCTTCTAAAACATTCCGTCTCTTTTGCAATTGTTCATCCTTTTTGGCTTTCCGCAATTCTACGGATTGATCAATCCTTCGCCTCCGCAACTCCTGTTTAACGAGGCGTGTTATTTACAGATAACCTTACTTCGTTGTCTTTGCTCTTATTTTTGTACAAACGCGACCGATCCATTTATTCGACCTAACCGCAAAGCGCGCACAACGTGTTTTGTGAGGTTTCTCGTATACATTTAAACAAGCTAACTTAGGTTTTGAAAGTAGGTTATAGACCATATTGTCAGATATTTTAGCGCATTTTTCCATAATCTGCACAGAAATATCGGGGATTTCTATCATCAGATAGTAATTTGCAGTTGTCTGCGTCAAGTGTAATGCGTAACTTACGCACAAGTTAATGATACAATGCCGACCAACGGACATACTAGTGCTGACCAAGCAAACTAATTTTACTGAAAACAGGATTCTGGCACTCCTGTTAAACCATGCGTGTATTACACAAATCCAGATATTTCGGAATTATAATCACGTAGGGAAATTATAACCGTCCACAGTCAGAAAAACTTCGTAAAAAAATACATGCGCTTTTATTTCTCATACACATTACTGGTGGATCACTCTGAAACTATGGGTTTACTACCAATCGCAAAAATTCAAAAATCATGTAGGGCATTATCAAAGGATCGATGAACTAATTTCCCCAAGTAAGTAGGCAGAAGACCTTGCGGAGATCTGCCCCTCACAGCATGGTTTTCCCCCTGGAATATCATGCGAAACCTGTCACTGAGCTTTACTTTACCTGGTCATTTCACTTCATAATGAGCAGCAATCAGTCGTTGAGATTTACTTTGACCTTAACGAAACTTTTGGTGAGGTGCCGCACAGGCGTCTCTTAGTGAAACTGGCAGCCCTCAGCATCAGGCCTCACCTCGATTTCATTGCTTCCTACCTGTCTAACCGCAGCCAGAAGGTCTTAGTAGGTAGTAGCAATCGACGCCTCAGCCGCTCACGAGCGGCGTTTTTCGAGGCACGGTTTTATGTCCCCTCCTTTTCATTCTTTACATAAATGAAATTTGAACAGCACTCGATAACTCAGAAAGTTTCATTTAGGCTGATGACTTTAAGTGCATTTACTCAATTTATAAGGATACGGCTAGTATTAGCGTTGATAG